CCAGCACAACAGCAAAGAGCGCAAATAACGACACCTTTACGTTTGGGACTAAATTTGAAGTATTCCCATACCTTCGATGATTTACGCAAAAATTTGACGTCTACGTATTTTTGAGGTAGACGCGTCGCTACAGGCCTAGTATCCAGACACATTATCCATTCAAAAAATGATCTCATCTTGCTTTGTGAGATGAGTTAGAGTAAACTTATAAACTGTAGGCTGCTATGTGTCTGTATAGATGATACGCGTTAACAGCAGCTCAACTGCGCAGAGGACATTCTCAGTAGTTGAAATTGGATGTGAGCATATGTCATACACAGAACTCAAACAGTCTAAATGCACAGGAAAGGCTGGTGAAAGCCGGTGTAACACAACTCGCATTAATTTTTATATTTAAAAAAAAATAAAATAAAATTGGTGTTTGATTCAACTCTGTCGTTGTTTTTGTTAGAAGTTTGTGGTTTTAGATTGCATGACACTGACATTTGTGCTGGATTGTATGAAGATGCTGGCAGTTTCACTGTATATCAAGTTGTTTTTTTTGCAGGACTCTGCCTTTATTTTATATACAGGTTTTAAAATGGTTTATTGGAATGAATGATTTATTGACTAGAGGGTTTTCTTGGCCCCATAAAATGATTAAGTATATAAAGAAATCAGACTGTATTGCAGATTAGTATTAGTAAGGGGGGTATGCAGTTAGGGCTCCCCTGTCAATACACTACACTCTGCACAGCTTGCCCTGGCCATGGCACTCCTTAAGGCAAAAACATTGCTGCTTATTGAAGAGTTACAGCAGGTGTTTCAGCTATGCTCTGCTTCTGTGCTGAAAACACCGGTATGGCAGTGTTAATAGGAATACACATGATGTGGGGGTGTTACACATCTGTTTGCGTAATAATGAATCCCACAGCTAACCAATGTGCCCATGCCTGTTTGTTCCAGATTTACATAGTCTACAACAAGAGGACGGGGAAGCCTCGGGGCTATGCATTCATCGAATACGAGCACGAGCGAGACATGCACTGTGAGTACCACTGTACAGCATTGAGCCAAAACCTTTATTTATGATCACATGTCCACAAGGACTGACCTCTGTGACATGCAAGGTGGCTCTTCAGTTGAACCCTCTTTCCTTTACTCTATGTAGATATTTATATAATGATACTGGGGTGGCAGCTTTCTCTAACACTCCACTACCTAATAAGCAAATTAATGCTTATGGCATTAAAGGAATCAGAGTACATCTTAAAGACGTATGTTGTACAGGTTGCATGTTGAAATCCGAGTCTGGTGGTTGTGTGATGTGTGTCTGTGTTTGATGCGTGTCATCAGTTGACTGATAGTCAAGAAGGGGAACTGCTTCATTCAGTGGGGCATCATGGGAAAAGTAGGAGGACTGTCTTTCATCTGTGAAGTTGAACATCTTTGCCTGTCAAAGGGCACATTGTCTTTTAACTGTTAGGCGTTGTAGCTCTGTGGAAGAGCAGCTCTCCTGGTTGGACTCTTAATGGTAAGCACAAGGTCAGACTGGTCACCAAGCAGTGAATGGGTTTTATTTTCTTTTTTCAACTAGAAATGTGTCATGGGCTGTATGGAAACCCATCTTTTTGTATGACTAGGTATTGAGCTTGTTTGTCTAGTTTTTATTGGTGGTCTTCAACCCTGGTCATGGTGAGATTAGTTCAACGTCACCACACTAGTGAGATATTTTAAGCTGCTGGTGATGCTACAGTGAATAACAGAGTACTGTCTTATTAGACAAGTGAATGGTGCCATCTAACACAATGACACCATTCTGGGATATTTGTGCCATCAGCTCTTCAAGACCAGAGTTGCTAAATCACAGCAAGCATGTAGTCACAGCAGGGGGTGAACTGAGGGGGGATGTGGGGCTAAACAGTATATTAACTGTGTGTTGTTCTCATTGCCACTGCAGCCGCCAATCTGTGATGGCTATTGGCCAGAGCTGGCTGGCAGATGATGATGGTTATGATACATCTACACCCTACTACCACAGCTCAGTATATGGTTGGTATAATGGGTTTGTATGATGGGTAAGATTTCTTTCCACCCTCCATCTCCTACATAGGGAAGAGGAGCTACGTTCAATGGGTAAAGCGTATTTCTATGCAAGCCCTAAAGAGCTTTCAGTGCAATTACTACTACTTGGATCTTAGGCTTTGACCATTGAACGCACCCCTGACTACTAGAGTATTAATGTTGCCCAATGATTCTGCCCTTTATGTGAAAGCCACCTCAGGTCACTGAGGGATCACACTTTGCAGTAGCAACATAGCTGTATAGAGGGCCACGAGGTCAGTGAACAGGAAAGACAATCCCACCGGCTTCTGGTGGAGGTTGTTGTGATTAATGCTGTGCAGGTTGACAGAACTTGTTGCAGCTCTTCAGAAAAATAGTCCTATTGCTTAGTAATACATTGCAGTAATGTGTAAATATATCTTGGCAGAGAAGGCACTTGTCTAAAGAATTCACTCCTATCATATAGAGCTTGGAAATTATTTATTGTCCTTCAAATGTTGTGATAATGTTTTAAAGCAGTGCAAAAACACCTGAATGGTCAAATCAAGATTTAAACTAATGTAATAATGCGGGGCTACACCGCTGCTTAAACCAAAAACAAGCCCGAGTCACTTCACTTAACACAGAATGCCTCAGAATCTGTGCTGACATTTCACACCACAAAACTTTATGGGTCTTTTAGTATTTGAAACACTTTAAATGAATAAAAATCCTAAATCCGTTGAGTGAAAAACTCTTTAGTGTTCATTAGTAACAGTGTCACTGTTGGTAGCTTCTTGTCTGCAGGTGAGTAACTGGTAAAGTTTTAAAATTATAACACCTCATCATGTCTGTTAGGCTCCAAGGTTCTGCCAAATATCTGTGCTAATTAAAAAGCCATTGCAAGATTTAAATAATCAAAGCTAGGTATTAACTCAACTGTAAACAGCTGCCTGTGCATGTCAATCCATACTGTTGATAAGATTAATACACATTTCTTTGCCACTGCATTCCCCAAACTGCAGTAAGTAGTAGTAAAACCTTAGGAGGCTGGGCAGTTGTATTACTGTAATACAGTTCACAAACCCATTTAATCTAGAAAAAGGTCAAATCTCACCTACGGTTGGTGCATAATACTAAAAACTAATCCATCTGAGCTGGCTTTAATAGGAAAGGCAGATGAGGGGAATTTTCTTGGTAATTCTGCTAAATGGGCTATTCATACATTATTTATTCACTACATAACTTAAGTTAGATACTAGTTACTGTAGCCTTACAGATTAATTCATAACAATAGTATGGTCAAAGAAATGGTTCCTAAACTTTCAGTTTATGACATGTTAGTGAAGTGTAAGACACTGTACGCCCTCAGTTTAATATTTCAGGCCACTTTAGATCTCAGACATAACAGCGTTAGGAACATGACTTCATTGAATTCATGGTACAAAAGTTCTTTCTCATTAGTTGGTTGGGGTTGTGATAACACAACTCCTGAAAGGAAGGTAGCCAGTTCCTTTTTTTTTTTGTTTTTTTTTTTGTTTTGTTTTTGTTTTTTTGTTTAATTTAAATTTTTTTTTTTCTTTTTTTTTTTTCTGCTTTTTTCAGTTGGTCAGTTTTGGTAGGACTGGTGGGGGTTTGGTAAGGCCCTATTATTGGATGGGATGTTGTCATCCTTAGTGAACACTGGAAGCGGAGGGGTTCTGGTAAGGCCCCTGATAGAGGTGTTGTGACAGTATGTGCATTCTGGTGCTGAGGGGATTTTGGTAAGGCCCGAAGACTGGGGCAGAGACTTTCATAAGGCCTGTAAGTGAGGGATCATGGTAAGACCATCAACTGTGTAGAGTGAGGGAGTTTGGTAAGGCCCTCAGATTGTATATGTGAGGATTTGGTAAGGCCCTCAGACTGTATGCTATAACTGATGGGTTTTGGTAAGGCCCTCCTCTTGGACTTGAAGGTTTTACCCTCAGGGATCATCATCACATCAGACCAGTGTAGCAGCCAGGATGAGCCGCCTGGATCTCGCCTTCCATCATACAAGATGGATCTAAAGACTGTTGTGTGGTATAATGGGATGAGGTGTGGGGAGTGTACACGTGGTTGGAAATGCTCATACTCCTGGTTGCTTCCATCATGTTGCTCCGTCATGAAGCTTGTAAAAGGTTTCAGTAGATTAAAGCCACTGCAACAGAACAGCCTACTGTCATAATATTGGACTGAAAGTCCTGTACTGTGTTATAGTGCAAGAAAAAAAGAATTTGGCTGACTAGTTATGTGCTGTTCTGTGTGTGCACAATCACTAACACGAAGCACACTGCTTTACTGCTGTGATAGAAATTACATTTCACCTGTATGCAATCTTGGAATATGTATTTGTCACAGCTAGTGAATTCACTGTTACACAATACAGTGACGATAACAGCAGTGCTTCAATTGTAAATAACAACCGTGTCAAGTGTCCCAGCAGGTTGGGTTAAGTTCAGCAACTGTTTTAAGACTGTCACACTAACTGCAGGATGAGTGTTTTAGTTTGCCACAGTCAAACCTGTGTGAGAGATCAATACTTATCAAAATGTCTCGTCATTCTGCGTAATCAGTATTAATATATTAATTAAGAAGCTGCACTCTAAGTAAATTGGAAGTCTAATCCACGCAATTATCCTGCGATTCCTGCCGTTTTTAACCAGAACGACTTAAAATGGCTGGGTAGGTTAATGGTGCAGCTAAAACGTAACGTATCAATCACTCATCGGGTGGAAGGAAGTCTACTCCCATTATCCTTCGGCTTTTACCCAGAGAGCAGCCATCTCGGCCTCGCCTGCTCCTGGTCAGTATAACGATGCACTGTTTGTTTCCTTGGCCACATTGATGTAGTCGTACTACCATCTCACCTCTTGTCTTTCCTTTCCCATTCCTCTTCTCCAGCCGCGTACAAGCATGCGGACGGGAAGAAGATTGATGGCAGAAGGGTGTTGGTGGACGTGGAACGAGGACGCACTGTCAAAGGATGGCATCCTCGCAGGCTAGGTCAGCAGCCTCTTTTGTGTTCAGATTAAGTTTTGATTTCACCCCAGTGTATCGGAGCATCTCTAGTAGCAATGCATCCACACACCAAAGCAGCTCTGTGCTTTTTGATGCAGTACGGTTGTGTCTGAACACAACCTGACTGCAGCTCAAAGGGGTGCGTGGACTTGACACGTTTAACTTTATTTTCCGGTTTTTCTGTAACTAGGTGGTGGATTGGGTGGCACTAGGAGAGGTGGAGCTGATGTGAACATTAAGCACTCTGGCCGAGATGATGCATCACGTTACGATGATCGCCCTCTGGGGGGGTGAGTACTTTCATGGAAGACCTGTGGTTTGGTACAAAAGTGTGTTCTGCTGTGTATAACAGTCTTTGATTTATCCTGCTCATAGTGAACGAGAGCGCGGAGACCGAAGAGAGCGCAGCCGGGAGCGCGACCGGGACAAGGACAGAGAGCGCCGGAGGTCCCGATCACGCGAACGCCGCCGACGTACCCGTTCGCGGGAGAGGGAGAGAGAGAGACCGATTGGAGGGGGAGAAGACGGTGGAGTTAGTAGCCGGCGTCGAGAGCGAGAGAGGGAGCGTGGGGGGGCAACGGGAGGAGACAGTAGGAGTAGAGAGAGGAGTAGAGAACGGAAGAGAAGGAGCAGGAGCCGAGATCGCAAGAGAGACAGGGAGAGAGGCAAGGGACTGGATGGAGAGGAGGTCAGCCAGGGAGATGGTGCCCCTGAGGGTGGGGAGCGTATGCTGGAGGAACATGAAGGAGAAGTGGGGGAGGGTGTGGAGGAGCGCAGAGACAGGGAAAGAGAAAGGGACAGAGACCGCAGGCGCAGCCACAGGGACAGAGAGAGACGCAGGGGAGACCGTGACAGAGACAGGGAGCACAAGAGGGAGCGTGGGGACAGAGAAAGGGGGGACCGCAGAGAGGAGCGCCACGGCTCCCTACGAGACGACCTTGGGCCCCAGGATGACATTGGCAATGAGGATGAGGGAGGAGCACCACCTCACATGGAGGAGTACAGTCAAGACGGGATGATGATGGACCAGCAGTCAGTGCCATCGGGTGACGGCTATGGCTCCAGTGAAAACGGCTACAAGATGGAGGCACCAGGAGATGAGTACTGATATGGTCCCTGTCCCAGCAGGTCCCCACTCAGAAATAAGTTGTTTCATACTTAGACATGGCCCATAACTGCCTATCAAGGCACAGGAAGCCTAAATGATGTTGGGGCTTCCTCAGCACCAGACATCTAGCTAACTTTCTCCTATCTGTAAAGAATCTGTTAAAATAATTCCAATTGATACTGTTGCACACACAGTTGATGCATAACTGATTTGATCTCACTAAAGTTGCAGTTTTCCTGTTTTGCCCAACTAATCCGTGCCACTAAATGTTTTCAGATTACCTTAGTGATTCAAGATGGTTTGTATGTTTTTGTTTTTTTTCACTTTGCTTGGGATGAACTGTGTAAACCAGAGCTCTATTTGTTTTTAGATGGGTAGATTGTGTTGTCTTTTATTTACAGATTCATAAAGCAGTTAGATTGTATGCTCATTTGGACCCAGTGACCAATTTCTGCTCAATGTATGTGAAATTGAAGGAAATGTAGTATTATGTGACATTTGAGGGCTGTTCTGTTTATTCATTCTGGAATAAAAAAAAAGTAAATTATATCTGCTGTTTGTTAGATTTGCATGGTCAACTTGATGTCATGTCTCCACAGCCAGATTTTCATACAGCACAAAGTGTCTGGGCTGTACCGTACCCCAAAAACCATATGTAGTAAGGGGGCCCCTGCAGCTCGAATCTGCTAAACAGGACTACAGCAAGTGAACACATAATAAACCAATAATCACCATGAAACATCCGCAGCTGATTTTAAGACAGTTCTTTTTTGTGTTCAGGTTTTCTGAAACTATATTAAAATATGCAAATTTGGCAGCCTCTACTTAAAATGTGTTAATTTATTTCAAGAATAGAAGTCTGAGAATTGTTTTCATTTTGTCCACACATTGAAGTCAACATTTTTACAGAGGGAATTTGGATATCTTCATTTAGCAGAAAATTATGGTAAACAGCCATTAAAAAAAAATGGATGGGAAGGTTGGATGGAGGCTTAAATATGTTGAAAATGTTTAGTAAAATAAACATGCTTTGTATATCCAACAGTCTGCAAGAAATGCTGTGGAAGAAAAATAGCTCAAAATTGACGTGAGAGAAAAGCGTTTTTTGTGTGTGTGTGCGTGCGTGCGTACGTAGATAGTGATTATATAGTGTGCTTATTATACAGTCCGTACATAGTGAAGCTGCCGCGTCTGCCTGTGCTGCTGATCCTCACTGAAGCATCTCGGTCCTCAGTCCATCGTCTCCAGTCTGCTGACCGTATCATCCTGAAAGATGGACCACGCATCGCTGTAAGCCACATTTTCTGCTCATCTACGCAATTTAAATAGAGGAGCAGCCTGGACGCGGAGGAGCTCACAATGATGTCCTCTTACTACCACCCTGCCAAGGAAGCAGACATGGCGGCCATGACAGAGCCGCTCTGCCTGGAAAGAGGTAATGCATAGTGAGCCGCACAGCTTCATAATCTCCTGGCTAATATCAGTGTATGTGTCTTACCTAATGACAATGACCACAACCAACGGTGTTTTGTTCTAACGTTATTATACAAACTACAAATATTTTTGACCTTATGTTTGAAATGGTTCGGCGCGCGCCCCCCGCTCGTTTCTTTCTCGTAGTAAACGTCATTAGCTGGAATCCATTCACAGTGAGCCAGCTAGCGTTAATGTTTACATCCTTTATGGGCAACACGCTCGGAATGCCCCTGCGCACGGATTGCTATCGTACGGTCCTTGACAATATATGATTTAACTTTTGTATCGCGCTGGGGGTGGGGGGGGTAATAAATGGGGGGGTAATAAATGTGCCGCTGCCACACTGTGCAACGGTGTGAGTAGAGCCCGTGCCCCGGACGCGGCTTGCCGCTTGAGTGCGTTATAGGTGCGGTCAAGCACGGGCGAAACAGTCCCGTTACACGGGGGTTTAAATGACGGAGGAGCGAACTCCACTGTCAGTATGATGTCATCTAACTGTTTATGTGGCTCGTGATTCCAGGGGTGGATCCAGAGACATAACCATGGGTTGTAGGGAGACTTTAAATGGTAAATGGACCTGTCCTTGTATAGCGCCTTTCTAGTCTTCCGACCACTCAGTGCTTTTACACTACATGTCACATTCACCCTTTCACCCATTCGAACCCAGTTGGCAACAGCAACCATGCAAGGTGCCAACTACTCATCAGAAACGGAAAATAAGGGCATTCACACACACTCATACACTGATGCACAGCAGGGTTCAGTATCTTGCTCAAGGACACACAAATATTTTTTTTACAATTTCGTTGGCTCTCTCTACCGATTTAAAATCCAACAATTCAATCACATCCTTGGATTCATTTTTGCAACCATGGAAGATGGAAAGGTTTACATTCAGCAACTGGGAATATTCCATTACTTTTGATTTGAACAAAAACACAACGGTATTTTTATTTTAAACTGGTGGCCAGCAGCTGGCGAGCTGGCATATTTTCATATATTTGAGGTACAGTAAAAGCAGGTACAAATATGGAATTTTATTGTTGAATTTCTCCAAATTGGTGCAGTAAAAATGCTTGATATTAAGTATACTTGTAGTCTTATATGTGTAGAAGTCAAATATACCATCCATAGCCAGGAATTATTGAGCAATATGTTTTTACAGTACCTCAAATATTTGAGGAAAGATGCCCTTGGAGTTTTGGGTTTTGGGCATTTCTCCCAAACATTGGGGCAGTAGAGATGCTGATATTAAGTATGTTTTTTATTCATCATGGTCGCATGAAACACTTTAATGTAACATATTTTATTTTAAATGTAGGTTTGAATTATAGCTTACTGTTCTTAATACCTTTATTTTGAAAACCAGAAGTGAATACGCTGTTTCTCCGCAATTACCATAATGCTGAGAATATAACACTTATATATATATATATATAACACTCGAAATTTAAGTGCGGCTGATTTGACCACGGAGATCGGAGTAACGGCTGGCTTGACCACAGTTAATGAGCCTAGAGGCATACACACAGGAAGCACAACTGCCTGAGCACGAGAAACGTTAAATTTTTTTTTAATTTATGCCCCTTTATGGGCTCCGTAGTGGCTCCGTATCTTTCAAAGATCCAGATCTGAAGATCTGATTTAACTACCATATGACAAGAATCTGAGATGCCTCTGTATCCCCATGGTTCTTAGTTCCTACTTCATATGATACAACTTGAAAATGACTGTAAATTAGTAAATTAGTAAATTAGGATGGGTGAGCTTCACAGGCCAGTGCATTTTAGTGTGTAACGTTGCTAAGCAGGTGTCCTTTACACTGATCAGCTATTGATCTGCATTTACAGAGTGTGTGAACATACAACTGGAGGCCCTTTTAACTGCAACACCAAGACACTCCTGTCCAGATAGTTTAAGTTAGTGAGTGTGTGTGTGTGATTAACCAACTCCACCTGGTCTCATTCCCAAGTTGTAAAATACTGCAGCTAGGTCAGTGGCCCTCTGCTTCAAAACATGATACTGTAGGTAGGAACTCTCTCAGTCTGTGTTCTTGTGTATTTGTGAAACATCATCTGTTGCAAATTAAGTACTGTCCTGATGCACAATTCAACATTTTGCCAGTTAAATTCACAGAACTGTTCTTGAAATGCACTTTTTACCAGGGATGCTGCATTTGGAACTTGCCAGCACAGATATCCCAGCATTCATTTCAGCATTTAAGCTTGAAACCCCAGAGAAAGAGGCCAACAGAGTATTTTACAATTCTTGTATGTTATTTCAATACTAAATTCCCTTCTGAGAACGTTTGAATATTAGTATGAGGGCTGTGTTGCTTATTTATGGGAATTATATTGTATTAAACTATTCAGATTTTACCACAAAGTTTGGCAAAACCTGATTTATTCATACATCTTTAATTGAAGCACATATATGTAATATTCAAAATTAACATTAATGGAATACAAAATGTGATAAAAATGAGCACATAAAAAGCTCAAATGTCATCCTGGAATTGTGCATTAACAAAAACTTATTTATTTGGTTTTGAATTAGTTATCCAACATTTTGAGTTCTAAATAAACTGTTTGGTTTTTTTTTTTACATTAACTAAAGAAAAAACGATTTAAACAGTGGCCACACATCAGTACTGGTCCATCGTCCTCCCGCCTCTAAGCAGTGGTATGCAAAATGTGGGTGTTTGTGCATGTGTGTGTTGCTTTGACTGCTTGTGGCCATGTGCCCAGGCCAACTCATTGGCTAATGCCTAATGTAAGATGAGAAGGTGGCAGAATAACATCCAGAGGCATTCTTATATCCCAGCTGTTTTTCTTTTCCCTTTTGCAAAACTGAATAGGATTGTGTCCCTGTTTAATAGCCGTAGGGGTGGCAACCAACAAGGAGACATTTTTGATTTGACAGACCTCAGGCTTTCAGCCACAGCGTGTAAAACACTCAGCAGGCTGTGGGTATTTGGGAATTAAACACACTTGTGAGCATATTTTGGTTAGTTTTCTGTTAGTTTTTTTAAATATCCTAAATAGAGTTAATATGCCCTGCATAATATTGTAGTTGTTTTTTTTCCACGTTTGCTTTTTTTACAATTTTATCAGGGCGGTATGTTTGTCCCTGTGCTTATGCGTTCTTTCAAGAAGACAGAATGACACTCAACACTTGATGGTACTTAATAAAGTGCTAATAAATGAACCCACCTATTTACCCCACATTGAGCAAGATGAGGTGAAACAATTTAGCTAATTTTGGCCTGATGAAAAGATAAGCCTCTTGGGGCACAGGGGAAGTCATCAAAACATCTGCTGTTAACCATTAAAAGCTCCCTGTGCTCCACTGATGCCAGAGTTGTTTTAATCTCTTCTCACTGCTGATGCAATTCATTCACAACAACTCTATGATTGATATAAACGTGTGTGAATTCATATTGTGGTGAACTCATGGTGACAGTTTTCTTTTCTTTTGAGCAGGCGCTTTATTGGCAGAAACAAGCAGAGCATCACTTTACAGTAGAACGCTCATACACTCACCCTAGAGGGAATGTCACTGATAGCGCACCTAACAACACATATGGTTTAACACCTCTGCTAGTAATAAATACATGTACTACAGGGACATGGCAAAATACACTGTAGAACACACTAACTTCATTAACATTGCAGGAATATGTATCAACAGAGTCCATCACCCACAA